GGATTTGCATTAAACTTAATTGACTTGTCAATATCTAGCCTGCCCAAGAATTTAATTGTGTTGCTTGTTAGAACAAGAATTGTACATTTGTTGTTCCAGCTCCTTGAGTTTTTCGCATCGCTATCTGTTGCATTATTAAATCTAGGCGTCCTTGAAAATTCAACAATTTTTGAAATACAGCCGATCGAGAATCCAACGCTTGATAAAAATCCGAGAGTTTCTGAGTTAGATCAGGTACCTGAATGTGAAAAAAAAATAGGTAATTTATTACGATGAAAATCAGAAAAATTATATGAAATTCGAGTTACGTACTGTCATCAGATATGTCATGTGTATCAATGTTACAGCCTTTATCCATTGTAACATATTCATTACAGATTTAGGTTTTTCATAAAACCTTGTGATCACCTTTTCCAGGAAAGGTATTATATACTTTGTAGGTAATTTTCTAACAGTGTTGCTAACAATATCTGGGTTTGTTTGTTCCAAAACTAAATTAAATAGATGATCATCATTTGAGTGTAATGCTTGAACTAGCATCTGCTGCATAGAATTTCCTTGGAGTGTTTTAAACTTTGGTGTGTGCGATGACTTTTGAGAAGTTTCAGATTCCACACTCATCAAATCAAGTTCATTCAATCTTGTTTCTAATGATTCTTCCTAATTAAGGATAATTATCGCTATTAAAAACCGATATTTATAATCATCATATATATATATATATAACGTACCTGAGTCGATGAATCTTGGTTCAACGAATTTTGAGTTGATGAATCTTGAGTGGGTTTGTCAATTTCTGCGGGCGGTTTTGGTATTTCGTAATTTGAACTACTTAGCACGTTGGCTTTTGACTCATCATATGATTTCTGTGTAGCCGCCTTTTTAATTTGTGCATATTAGAACTTTGCAACCACATACAAAGTCGTTTAGTAATGTATATTCAAGCTCACCAAATTGTTATCCGCAGGACATACCATCAAATTGTGGGATTTGCGATCAAAACAGGTTCTCAAGAGCTTCACTGG